GAAAACAAAGGGGGGCGGCTGGGCAAGGGAGAGGAGGAAAATAAGATGGAGCTTAGGGTTCTTTTTTTTTCCCTTTTGTTTTTTTCTTTGTTTTAAAACCAACCCTACCCAAGCCCAAGAGGAGAAAAGAGTCTATTCCATCCTTGAAACAAGGTCCACTGCACGAAGTCCGACGAATATAAATTTAATTGGAGTTTAGAGCCCGATGAAAATGTATACATTTAATTTAACAGTTAATTTAGAAATTAAATAACTAAAAAAAATCTCATAATTCAAGACCAACCAACCTGAGGGACTCGGGGCGTTACAACTCTGATCCTCTCATGATTTAATAAGAAACAACAATCGCTCGTACCTCAATTTAATAAATAAAATACTCATAATATATCACACTACAAAATATATATATATATATATATATATAAAATAAGAAATCAAAAAATAATTAAGATTATTAAAACAACAATGGTAAAGAGAGTTAAATATGATTTTTTTTTTAAATTTTCATAATCGTCTCTCTTCCTATTTTTAACTGGGATTGTGTTACTCTCAATTGACTGAATATTTTATTGTTTATTTTTTTTTCTATTTTAGTTGAAACCATGGTGGGAACTGAAAACCATCTCTTGGGTTAAAATTTTTTAGAAGAATTCGTTGAAGTATATCTCCATTTAAATAAACAGAACCTGCTTTGAATAAAAGAAATATAAATATAAAATAAGAAATTCAAAAGTTCATGAAAACAATAATCAAGCAGATAAATACAAACATTAAATTTAATTTTATAGAAATTCAAAAGTAGTTAAGATCAAGAAGACGGTCAATTTAAAAAAGAGAAACTCATAATATTATATACAAAAATTCACATCAATTTAGAAAACAGAACCCTCGTAGTATATCATAATACAAAATTTATTGATCAAAATTAATCAGGTGAATTTAGAAATTCAAATTAATTAATAAAAAAATATAAATATAAAATAAGAAATCCAAAATAGATGAAAATAACAATGAAAGGGGGATAAATAGGAACATCAAATATAATTTTTTACTTTACCCCTACGTCGTCTAAAATTAATTTATGTATTCGCAAATCTTCATTTTGACATGTTCAATGTTTCTTCATGAATAAATAAATTTTATTTTTAATTTCATTATTTTTTGAATTGTTGAAAAGAAAAAATATTTGTAGATATTTTTGGAGAAAGAAAATAATACAAATTTTGATGTATCACGACTTATGTTTCTTTCGTTTTATAAATAGTTTGTAAGGGAATAGACTCACTGTTTTGTCTTCACACTTCTAGATCAATCACATCTATATGTGAATGGACACACTACTTCTCTCAACCGACAACTGATTTATAATAAATAGAGTTTTTATAAAACGAATAAATAAAATGTTTATTCAATGTTTCTCTACGAATAAATAAAATTTTTAATTTCATTATTTTTTTAATTGTTTAAAAGAAAAACATTTGTAGATATTTTGGGATAAAGAAAAAAATACAAATTTTGATGTATCATGACTTATGTTTCTTTCGTTTTATAAATAGTTTGTAAGGGAATAGACTCATTGTTTTGTCTTCACACCTCTAGATCAATCACACCCATATATGGATGGACACATTGCTTATCTCAAGCGACAACTGATTTATAATAATTTGCAATCACACCTATACGTAAATGGATGCATTGTTAGTCGAACAGTCGCAACTCATTTAGATTAATTTCTCTCAATAGACACCTCGTTTGAACAGTCGTCTATTGTAGAAGTTTGAAGGGTAAATTTGATATATATTTGAGTTTAGTTTTTATTTGGTCACTTAGTTTTAAAAAACCATCGTTATTGGTCTTTAAAGATTTAAACTTAGTTTTTATTTGGCTCTTAAATTTCAAAAGAGACATGGTTCCTTAAGTTTGAATTTAATTGGTCTCTAAGATTTGAGTTTGGTTTTTAATTTGTCCGACTGATGACCTAATAGAATAATGATGTTATGTTGACTAGATAAAAAATGGTATATTTTGTAAGGTTACCTAATTAGCTATCACATAATCATTTCGTAAGATCACTCAATTATAAACTAAATAAAATTTTTTCGACCAACTAAAAACTAAATTCAAATTTTGGACCAAACATTACACTTTTGAAATTCCAATGATCGAATTGGAACTAAATTCAAATGTGATGGACCAAAAATAATGAGATTTTAAATTTAGAAATCAAATATAAATCAAATCCAAATTTTAGGGACAAAAAATTTATTTTATCATTTTATTTATTTTGGATATAGATTTCATCTCTGAAGAAAAAAAAAGTTTTTCTTAATTCAACGAGTTGTGAACATTTAAGAGATCAAATATATTAGTCAAAGCGAGCATAGTTCAACGATAATTGGTATATATCTCCAATCGAGAGGTCGCGAATTCGATCTCCTACGCTACATGCTATACTAAAAGAGAGATTAAACATACTAATGTAGAAAAAGAAAAAAAAAAGAGATGAAACATATTTGAAATGATGATAAGTCTTTTAACACAATAATGCTTGGATTGAAGTTTTGAGCTCTGGGTTTTTTTTTTCCTTAATATAATATATCAATATACGATGGTGAGTATTATAACTTATAATTTTTTATATTTAAATAAACATCTTAATTAGTTGAACAGTAAACTATCAAAGTGAGCGTAGCTTAATGGTAATTGTAATATATCTTCAGTTAAGAGGGTGTGAGAGGGTGTGAGTTTGATTCTCCACCTACATAATTTTTTATTAAAAAAACTAGTTGATCTGTGAGCTATATATAAAAATGGGTATTCGGATTTATAATTTTATCGAAAATAAGTGTCTTAACCGTTAACCAGCAGGGTGGAGAGGGCCGAGTCACAAAATAACATAACTTTTATCCTGGGGTGTTCTATGTTAGGCTTAGGCACTCGACTCAGTATTCTAAGCTCTGAAGAACCCTAAACCAAACCCCGAGAGATCGAAATTCTGAACCTTCTTCGCCAAATTTCCTGCTCCATGATCCAATCTTCTAGCCTTGCCCCCTGATTTCAATCTCCCTTCTCCTTGGCTTCCGTTTCGCCATTATTTTCCACAATTTTTGTTTGCTCAAGAAATGGATATTGAGCAAAAGCAAACCGAGTTCATCGATCACTTTGTGAAGCAAGCTTCGTCTCTTAAAGGCTCCTCACTTGCGTCTGTTGTTACTGAGGCCACTTCTCACCCCTCTCTCTTCGCCTTCTCCGAAATTCTTGCCGTTCCCAACGTCATCGAGGTTCGAAAACAAGGATTACTCTTCTTTTCTGCCAATTGTTTTTGACTTCTTTTCCTCTGGAATTCGTTGACTGTTTGATTGATTCGTGAGAAAAGTATAGGTGAATGAAATGGGAAATTTTTTTGTCTGTTTATTTACTTTTCGATGTTTCGTTGATTTTTAATTCTATCTGATCAATTTTATCGATAGTGATATGATTGGTTTCTGTTGATTGCTTGAGAAACTAAGCCCATGAAGTTTATTCTCATTTTTGTTAATTCCAGCTGGAAAAGAAAATGGTATGAAATTTTTTCGTTCCAAAAATCGATGTCTCCCTAACTTCTGTTGCCTAGATTGTGAAGTATTGTTAGGTTTATCATACATTTTAAAATTGCACTAATATTCTTCTGGTTTTGGATAAGAATATTACTTCTATTAAGAAGAATGGAAGAACAACAAAAACCAGGCTATGCTAAAAACATGGACCCAGGCCACCAAAACAAGAAGACTCCCAGAAACTTATAAAAAGGGAGCTCCCATTGTTAAAAATAGGGGTGTTAGAAATCAAATCAAATCGATAAACTTCTGAACTAAAGTACTAAAGCAACCCAGACCGAATAATTTTGGTTAGTGGTTCAACATAATATGTATTGATTCAAACCGAGCCAAACCAATATTATTCTGTACTATTATATAATAATTAGTCTTGTAATTACTTATTTATTTATTATATGATAAGACTGTGGCATCACCAGGCCTCCGCCACCTCGGTTTGTTGTGGTCAATCTTTCTCACCTATATCTTTTGTTTTGATCATGGAATGTAGAGATCCAATCTTAGATAACCTACATTAATGACTCGAGCTCAGCAATTTAAGAAACACACAACTGATAAACACCATATAGATGTTCAATTTCAAGTTGGTGACTCTGTTTTTCATGCTTATAGCCTTATCAACAACAATCCTTAACTGCCAAGGGGAAGGAAAACTAATCTCGTAGTACGATTTACTGTTCGTTTATGGTTTTGGAAAGGTTGCATATAAGCTGCTACTACCACCTACTTAGGATTACACTCTATATTTCATGTTTCCCAACAGAAGGCGGATAAAGGTTGCAATTACAACTGAAACCATTACCAACTAAACTGTATCCTAAGTTTGGACTTCCCCTCACTCCTACTGTTACTGGAGTTCACCTGTCACTAGGCTTATAGGTGTGGTTTAGTGGGTACGAGACAATCTAAGGAAGCTACAGGGAAGTCGTAGATCTCATCAATAGTTGTTCTTTGCTTTTCATCGAGAGGGCAAGCTGGCAAGGTGAAAATTTGGGCACCAAAGAGTTTTGATAGGAACCTTAGGCCATGCGTGTGTTTTGTGTATGTTCGGAGGAATGGGCATAAGATGAGTGAGTTGTGTGATGTTATGTAGGGTGTGTGAATAAGGGCAGGGGGTAATTTTGTAAAACCGTTAAGAGGTTGTGGGACCAATAGGATGTATGGTCATTGTGGGTATGTGTTAGTTGTTTTGTGGGCTGAAGAGGATATATGGTAACTCCTAGCTTGTGGTGAGTACTAGGCCTTAAAAAGTTCTTGAGTTGTTCCTCTTTGGCTTTTTGTCGAATGCAATTCCACTTATTTCATTTTGATTCTTCACCATTCTCATTCCTGTTAAGTAAATGGGGTTTATGTGTGGTTTAAACCAAATGAGAGGAAATTAATTGACTTGAAGATTACCCAATAAGAAAATACAGCAGCCCCTTTTACGACTTTTTGGGAAGTTATTTGGGTGGGAGAAAAGCCTCTTTGTTCTTTGTTTCCTCGTATTTATCACTTATCAGATAAGAGATTGCATTCGGTGGCCTCGGTGTGGAGAATGGGGGGAATGGGTTGTCCTTGTCCCTGAGTCTCAGTTGGTCTTTGACAGATAGGGAAGCGCGGGAAGTGTTGGAGTTGATCCTTTTGCTCTCTGATTGTTCCCTCTTTTGTGATAGAAGGGATTGTGGTGTTTGGTCCCCTAACCCTTCCAGGGGCTTCTGGTCCAGTTCCTTCTTCAATCTTTTATGTTCCCCTTCTCTTCCCTCGGCAACCCCAGCGTTTACTGCGTTGTGGAAAGTGAGGATCCCAAAGAAGATAAAATTTTTCGTGTGGTAGGTCTTACTTGGGAAAGTCAACACCATGGATCATATGCAAAAGAGCTCGACTGCTTGCTTGGGGTTGCATTGGTGCGTTCTTTGTAAGCAGGATTCGGAGGATCTTGATCATATCTTATGGCAGTGCCAGTATTCGCAGAGAATTTGGGGTCGGTTCTTTGAGATGGTTGGTATTTCTTGGGCTCGTCACAGAGAGTGGGGATCGGTGGTAGAGGAAGTGCTTATGTCCACTCCTTTCCGTGAGAAAGGGAGTTTCCTTTGGCAGGCGGGTTTCTTTGGGATCATGTGGGGGATTTGGTTGGAGAGAAACAATAGAATTTTAGGGGGGTGGAAAGAGAGTGGGAGTCTGTTTGGGACCTCATAAGGTTTAATGTTTCTTTATGGGGGTCTGTTTCGAAATTGTTTTGTGACTATCAGTTAGGTCATATTTTTTTTGGATTGGAGGCCCTTTCTTTAGTTTGGCTTCCCTCTTTAGGGCTTTGTTTTTGTATGCCCGTGTACATCCGTTTTGTTTTCATTATTCACAATGAAAAGTTTGG